AGGGCTCTTGTTGATTTGCTGGCCCGCCTTCACTTAGGGCGGGCACGAGGCTTACTGGGGCCTTAGCCCAGAACATGTACTTCATGGCAAGGCCCCTACTTGAGGGCTCAATCCTCACATTCCATCCCCCTTAGCTTCGAAAGTCCGCTGAGATGCTTACTTCACAGGTGCCTTCCCTTTTAGTAGCCTCTCATATTCTGCCACCACCTGAGGAGCTGTCTCAATCAGTTCCTCCCTGGTAAACCACCGATCTTCTTTTGGATGCCTGAATCTGACGCGGTACTCTCTCTTGGGTTTAGGAGGTCTTCCTCGACCCAGCGGCTTCAGAACAGGCATATCCCTATGATCCACAATGTCGTTGATGTCCACTTGTCCATCCATGGTTGGGGGCAGCATCGATCTCCTGGAAGGGAATCGATCTGTCTCAGTGAAAGGTGCATGCTTTGAGGCATGAAAGACTGGGTGAGTGCGAAGGTGTCCAGGGACACGAATGACATATGTGGGACCATCCATCTCATCTCCCACTATATCCAGGACTTCCCAGGGACCAAAGTACCGAGGCATTAGTTTGCGAGAGATTCCGAACTCCTGTCCTAACACACTAGCCTTGACCCAAACTCTTTCCCCTACCTGAAATGTGGACTGTCTACGATGTTGATTCTCAGAAGCAATCATTGCAGCTTGCTTCATATGCTCGACAGCCTCTTGCAGCAACTTCTCATACTGCACACCATACTCTAGTGTGCCTGGAGTTGCAGCGGGTCAGTTTTCAGGTAGGAGGAAGTCTAGTGCTGATCTAGGCTTCCACCCCAAGTGCAGCTGATTAGGACTAAGGCCGGTACTGCTATGGATAGCATTGTTGTACAGGCTGGCGATGAGAGGTAACTGCTCATCCCAATCATCTTGGCTGGGCTTGATGTAATGCCTCAGCAAGTGCTGTACAACTCTGTTCATTTGTTCGGCTTGTCCGTTGGCTTCGGGATGATTCCCTGAAGTCATTTGAAGTTGACTGCCCATCTGTTCTGCAGTCTTCTTCCACATCTCACTTGTGAATTGAACATCTCGGTTACTAACGATTGACTTTGGTAAACCAAAGTCATGCACCCAGTTGTCTTTGAACAACTTGATGACGTAGTCAGTTCTTGCGGTCTCTGGCATAGCCACTAGTCTAGCGTACTTGGTGAATCGGTCAATGAAGGCGAAGATGTGCCTCTTGCCACTCTTACTAGTCACCAGGGTGTCCATGAAATCCATGGAGACACTCTGTCCTCGACCAGCAGGGATAGGCAAAGGCTTCAACAACCCAAGCGGTGCTTGAGTTCGCGGCTTGTCCCGCTGACAGACCTGACAGGTCTCAACGTACTTCTTCGCGTCATCCATCATACCAGGCCACCAAAATCGTTGTACTAAGTAAGCACTCGTCTTCTTGTAGCCAAAGTGCCCGTTTGCGTCATGACATTCGCCTAAAAATAAACTACGCAAACGTTCACTAGATGGAACTACTAACCTTTTTATTCCTGCCTTATCAAGATAGAGTAACCCGTCCACCATCACAAACTCACTTTCTGTGGCCTTGTCTTTTGCCTGAAGTTTGCGCATGATGTCCATCGTGACAGGGTCTTCCTAATAGGCTCCCACGAATGATTGAGTTACTTCGTAAGATACGCCAAAGTTAGAAACTAGCGCACCTAGGTAGTCTGCTCTACGGGATAGCGCATCTGCAACCTTGTTGTACTCTCCCTTTAAGTACTCAAGCTTGAAGTCATATTGCGTCAGAAAGAGCCGGTTGAGTCTTGATCCATTTGAGGGTCTGATGATCAGTCCTCAAGTAGAAGAACCTTCCCAATAGGAAGTGTCTCCAATGGACAAGTGCTTTATACAGAGCATAGAGTTCCCTTTCGTAGGTGGATTTTGCCAACTTCTTTGATGGCATCTTCTTACTCATGTACTCAATCGGTCTCAACTTTCTCCCATCCTGCTGAGCCAGCACTGCACCAATCCCGTATTGGCTTGCGTCAGTGGTCACTATGAATGGCTTCTGAGGATCGGGAACCATGAGGACTTCATGATTCATGAGTGCATGCTTCAATCTCTTGAAAGCACCATGTACTCATCACTCCAATCCCACGGTGTATCAAGTCGAGTTAGATCAGTCAAAGGAGATGCGACCGTAGAATAGTTCTTTACGAAATTCCTATAGTAGCCGCACATTCCCAAGAATGATCTGACCTCAGTGACTGTCTGAGGTCGTGGCCAGTCTCGAATACTAGCCACCTTCACATCTTTCGGCCTAATCCCCTCCGTGGATACTTCATGACCCAAGTATAGTATCTTAGTACGACCGAACTCACACTTCTCTAAGTTGACCTTATGCTTGTGTTGTCCCAGGAGTGAGAGTACAGTCTCAACGTGTTGTGCGTGCTCCTCGGCAGACTTACTAAAGATCAGAATGTCGTCTAGATAGACCACAACAAACTTATCTAAATGGTCATGGAAGATCCGATTCATAGCGTGCTGGAATGTACCCGACGCATTACAAAGACCGAAAGGCATCACTACAAACTCATACAGACCATAACGAGTCTGAAAAGTTGTCTTGTGTTGGTCCTCAGGTCTTATTGCGATCAGGTGATATCCAGATTTCAAGTCTATCTTGCTATAGTACTTGCATCCCTGCACCCTATCCAATAGGTCGTCTATGCGAGGTAGAGGCTCTGCGTTTTTCACAGTGATGGCATTGAGGCCTCTATAATCAATGCACATCCTCAAAGTACCCCCCTTCTTCGGTACGAATAGAACGGGTATTCCGTAAGGGAAAGTACTAGGCCGAATCCATCCCTTCTCTGTCAGCTCCTTGAGTTGTCGCCGAAGTTCATCTAACTCGACGGGAGCCATCCTATAGATCCTTCC